CTTCTTGCATTTACCTGCCCACGAGACCCTTGTTTCCATGCTATAAAGTAGGCTTTTAATGATGTGACTATTTTTTTTAATTACAATATACTCCTTCCATCTTCATACATAACATATTTTTAACTTATTTTTATATATCAATAAAAAATTTATTATTTAATTACAAGTACATAAAATCATACCAGTCTTTTAATTTTCTTCCTAATAATATTATAAGTAATATTTTTGTATTGAGTAAAATACATAATTAATATTTCTTTCTTTTTTCAAGGCGATAAGAACAAATTTATCTAATAATTAAAAAATATTATAACAATCTTTATGCGCAGAGACAACACAAACTTTTAGAAAACACTTTTCACACACAAGAGGATGAAAGAATTAGCAGAATAATTTAAACCATGTTGTAAGTATTACCTACAGCTCGTTCCATTCTTATACGATGGGTATATTTTTTATTCCAGTATTTTGATCAAATAAAAAATTATTTCGTTTCTTTTATGCAAGAAAAATTGTTTAAAAATTGATTGATATAAGCAATTACTACCATCAAGTGATCTTACAAGTTTCAAGTAAAGATCTGTCTTCTCTATCATTACTCATCAGCGCATTTTCGTGCAACAAAATGGCACTATCAGTCTGCTCAGCGGAAGGCATAAAACACCCTACCAAATAACTTCTTTGGTGGGATCTTCCCTACCTGTTTGTCTAATTAATTGGAGTGAAAATGATACTTGAAGACACGTAATTTATAATATTGATAATGATAATAGATAATTTTACAACTTATTTAAAAATTATAAAAATTCTGTTTGATATTTTTTAAAACAATTGTTCTATAATTACTTTAAATTTACTACCACGCCCTCATGTTCTAAATATACATGATCCTTTTGAGTACTTTTATTTTGGTCTTTTTTGTAAGAACACATCCATTTTATCTTCTGCATCGTTTTTTTCCACCAAAAGATCCCTAAATTAGAGCTCAATTTTTTTTTCTTGTAAAAAATCACTACTATTAGCTAAGACATCTCATTAAATATTAGAGGTAATTGTGAAAAAGTAACACACATATTTAACATATTAATTATAAATAAATTTAATTTAACTAATTTTTTTCATTTTAGCAAAAAAAAGGCTAACTTTGTTGATTATGATGAATTAATTAAAACAACATGACCAGAGTGAGCATTCTCTCTAGGTAAAAATATTCAGGCAACATTGCATTACTTGCAACTTTAAGCAAAGTGTCATTTCCCCTAATTGCTAGACAACCAAGGGCTTTTTTGGGTTTAACCAACCGAGGCCAACCAAGTTGAAACAGCAAAGCCTTTGGCCTTAAATATTTCCAACCACTCCTGAAAATCTCTCCAATCTTCATCCAGCAAAAGAAAAAGTAAGAAAGAAACCGAAGATGCCTAAGTTCGGTTCAGTGCAGGGGGTATACTCTCATGAAACACGCCCAAAGCCAAAAGCCTCCTCCATTGAAATTGACCTCAAGTTTCACTAACTCATTATCTGCCTTCCCTTCTCTCAATGTTCTTCCTTTTCATGGAAGAGCATTTCAAAATGATCTCACTTCCTTTCCTCTACCTTATCTCCCTTCTTCACTTGACAGCCACACCAAGCTCAGTATCTGCGACTGAATTTGTCTACAACACAAACTTCAAATCTTCTAATATCTTTCTGTGTGGAAACTCTACTATTCAGTCATCCATTCTGGTTCTCACCAATCGAAGTTTCTTCTCCATTAGCCGAGCTTTTTACCCTTACAAAATACCAACTAAAGCAGCTAACTCTTCTACCCCTTTTCCCTTTGCAACTTCCTTCATTTTCTCTATTGCTCCCATTAAGCATTTTCTCACCGGCCATGGCTTTGCTTTCATATTCTCACCTACTAGGGGCTTAAAAGGCACGACCTCGTCTCAGTACATTGGTTTTTTGAATTTCACTAATCAAGGTAATCCTCAAAACCATGCTTTTGGTGTTGAGTTTGATGTCAGAAAAAATGTAGAATTCAATGACATAAACGACAATCATGTCGGTATAGACTTGAATTCCCTTTCTTCCTTGACTTCACATGATGCTGGTTTTTGGGGTGGGAAAAATGATAAGGAATTTAAGCGGTTGAAGTTGAATAATGGAGCAAATTACCAGGTTTGGATTGAGTTTATAGATTCACAGCTTAATGTCACAATGGCTCAAGCAGGAAGAAAAAGACCCCAAAAACCTCTGATTAATATGAATGTTAATCTTTCAGAGGTTTTTCTAGATGAAATGTATGTTGGGTTCTGTGCATCGACAGGGCTATTGATGGACACTACTAGAATCATGGCTTGGAGTTATAGTAATTCAAATTTTTCAATAGGTGATGCTTTGCTCACAACCGATCTGCCTTCATTTGTGCATCAAAAAGGGTTTTTTTCTGGATCAAGTGTTCCTGTTATAGGCTTCACTATTGTCTGCATAATACTCACAGGCTGTGGGTCTCTGGGGTGCTTCATTTTATGGAGTTGGATTGGCAAATCAGAGGAAGATTTAGAGGAATGGGAGTTGCAGTATTGGCCCCATAGGATTGATTACCAAGAGATTGTTGCAGCAACAAGTGGGTTCTCGGAAGAGAAAGTGATAGGAATAGGAGGGAATGGAAAAGTATATAAAGGGGTATTGCAGGGAATAGGGGTTGCAGTAAAAAGAATCTCTCATGAAACAGAATCAGGAATAAGAGAATTCCTGGCTGAAATTTCAAGCTTAGGCAGACTGAAACACAGAAATCTGGTTAACTTCAGGGGTTGGTGTAAAAGAGAGAGGGGAAGTTTTATATTAGTCTATGATTACATGGAGAATGGAAGTCTAGACAAATGGATCTTTGAAAGTGAAGGAGATAGAAAGATGCTGACTTGGGAAGAGAGGATTCAAGTTCTAAAGAATGTAGCCTCTGGGATCCTGTACTTGCATGAGGGTTGGGAAGTTAAGGTGTTGCATAGAGACATCAAATCCAGCAATGTTCTGCTTGACAAAGATATGAATGCAAGGTTGGGAGATTTTGGATTGGCTCGCATGCATGATCATCATGGGCAAATAGCAGCCACCACAAGAGTGATCGGAACTGTAGGGTACATAGCCCCAGAAGTGGTCAAGTCAGGAAGAGCATCAACTCAATCTGATGTTTTTGGTTTTGGAATATTGGTTTTAGAAGTGGTTTGTGGGAGAAGACCAATTGAAGAAGGTAAAGCAGGGTTGATTGAGTGGCTAATGTCCCTAATGGAGATTGATGAGTTATACTGTGCTCTTGATGAGAGGTTGAAGGCCCAAGGAGGATGTGTCATTGAGGAAGTGGAGAGAATGCTTCGTTTGGGTTTGCTTTGTGCAAATTCTGACCCCAATGTCAGGCCTACCATGAGGCAAGTGGTTAATTTGCTGGAAGGCGAATTTGAAGGCAATGAGACAGAACAGAACAGTAAGGGAGAGAATTTGCTTGAGAAAATAAAATCAGCAGCAACGTGGTCTGATAATGCTCTTGCTTCTTCTAACATAAGACACCCAACATTTGCCGACATCATGTTCAGTTCTAATTCTAAAACGTCTGGAAGTAACTCATATGCCATCCCAGATTCAGAGATCATCCTAGAAGAAGGGAGGTAGTTGTGTGTGTGTGTGTGTGTGTGTGTGTGTGTGTGTGTGTGTTTTGGTCGAGTTACGAGGAGTATACTCCACCGACCGAAGAGCCTAGTCTAGGGAGCTAGTTTTTAAAGTCACGACAGCTTTTTGTTTATTATTTTCGTGTTACAAATGAATTTTATATTAGATAGTTTCAGTTGGATCGCAAAGGTAAGTGATGTGAATCGAAATGAACAACATTGGTGAAGTCAGTATGAGTGTTGGCGAGGCTATTCACCGATAAAATGAACGAATTAAACACAAGAAAGCTTTGATTTTCATTGCTGAGATTGAGAAAGGAGTCAAATAAATCACATCTTGGCGTAAATTGAGTGAAAGCATTCTCCGTCGTCCTTGTTAAATCCACATAAAGCTGGCCTGCTTTTTGTGTATTTTAAAGGAGCACGACCATTTTGATGCGAACCCAACCTGAACCCCACAACAAAACAAAGCGTTCTTGGTTTAAAAATGAAAACAATCTATTCATATGGCAAATATTGACAGTGAATATGGAATGTCATATGTTGTATAATTGAGATTTCGAGAAATCTCGTGTAAGGTGTAATTTTTTGTAGCTCGACAAATTTCTAGCCCCAGTCTCTTTATAAACTAGTTTGTTGTCTTAAAATTTCTCCTAGTCTCCCTGAAAAAGGTATCCAACTTGCTTTTTTCCCTTTTTTCTTTTGGTCTGAGTGCACCATTTATTCTTGATATGTTCATTGGCAATGACTTGCTCATAACGCAGAAATTGCAAAGGAGACGGTAAAGTTCTTGGCGAAAAGGGAAGACATCAACGTTTTCTTTAGAGTCTATGGCCGAAAGTAAAATGCTACCATAAAGTCATTGGCCAAAAATAAAGGCTACTTTTAAGTCCTGCAAAATCTTTTAATTCTCGTGCATAATATGAAGAGGCCTCCTCTTTTACTCTTTGGTTCAGCTTAAACTTCGAAATAGTGGGTTCTTGTGTCGTACATCATAGATGGAAACGTTGACATTACCTGGATCCATCCCATTATGTCATGGTTAAGGCTCTACTTAAAATGATCTAATGCATACAAGATTCATTGTCAACAATCAATTTGTTAATATAGCTCATGGTTTGCTACATCATCTTCTCCCCAAGCATTTTGCCAATTTATTTATAGTTGCTTGGAGTAATAAGAGAGCATTATGCTCGTTTGGGAATTAGGAACAAATGAAGTTGGATAGGCTCGTCTCCGTTATTACCTTTATCAATGCACCTGTCTTCCTACATAACCGATGGTAACAAATATTACTGTGATCTTTTGCCATTGAGGTGTAATGTAACTTTCTCAGAATTTCTGGAAATCGATAGCATATATAGGAAGCATCAAAGATCATTTGTTGCTTCAAAATTGGCTTGTTATGTATGTATTGGAGAAATGTGAGTAGTGGAAGGAGCATCAATTTCTTCTCATAGATGCCTTCAGTTTACATGATTAAACATTACTGTAAAGCTCTCTGCTGTATAATGCTGACAGATAATATAGTCATTAAATTATGCGTTCTGCTACAGAATTGGTAACAAGTGAATAACTAACTAACCGGTGCCTACTTTCTCTGCGCACGAATTTTCCTGCCTCTTGATTTGTCAATTCGTGAGCGTCTTGAAAATTCTTGGATCTTTCGATCATGATCTTTAAGCATCTGATCCATGTTTGAAGAAGCTAGTAGTGGACCGGAGAGATAGATCTTGTTTTCCATGTATCCTCGGCCTCCCTGAAATGGTGATCCACAACAAGAATTTACAAAACTCCAGAAAAATTTATAAATCTAGATATAATAAAGGCAACCGAAGAAAATAACAAAACCAAAATAGCATTAGATACACAATAGAGGCCTTCACTCCCAAATATTGACTAAGTAAATCAAACAAAACAAAAAATTATAATAACCTACCGGAGTTAATTCTTGAGTGGAGCCTCTTGCATTTTCTATCTGACTGAGATCCACAATTCGTGGGGACTGGCGTTTCCTATCATGCCTTCTTGAATCTGATCCATTGGTTGACTCCACAGATTTTTTAACTTCAATTGTTTTCCTAGGCAGCAATGAAATTGGTTTTTCCTCCTGATCTTCAGATGATGAAGTCCTCGAGGCAACTAAGCCAGATACTTTTGACAAGTTGATTCTGTTTGAACCCAGAGGCCCTTCATCAACCTCCTTTCCAACCCTTGCCCATTGAATACCCGGAACCAATGGACCTGAATGTGAAGGCCTCTTATTAAGATTCCCACTGAAATTATTTTCCATCTCTTTCTCATGTGACTGCTTTTGTGAGGGATAAACCAAAAATCCAGAAACAGGTTCTCTGTGGGTTTTATTAAACACTTCACTTCGGCTCTTTGAATTGGAATGATGTCCTTGCTGCATCAAATAAGAATACGATAAATTAAGAATCAGAGACAGATACGTATTGAAAATTCCGAAAGGGAGAAACATTAGGCATCGGTGACATTTTTCTTTTGGGGGAATTGACGAGAGGAATACTCAAATATTGCTCAATTTTATTAGTCTGTATTTTTAGCAACGAATGCAATCAGATGAAAACTTTGAAATTATAATCTGTCCTTGCATTGACTTCAGAGAGGAAAAGCAGATGTACAAAACACTGCCATTTTCTCAGTCAAATAAGCATTTAGATATAAAAGTATGAACATAGCATATGAGAAATTCGTAGTTGTAATGCATGTCCACATGTGAAGTAAAAATCACATCCAAGCAATAGGCTCGAGTCATACAAAGCCAAACCTTTCTGTGCTTTCTTAAAATTATGTCACTAACCCACTCAGTAGCTTCCAATCCCCAATGATTTAGGTTTGGTTGCACAAACACAGGACTATCAGAAAGGGGCAGGTCTTGTTCAAAGAACTGAAAAGTAAAGGCATAAAAAAGCTTTGCTGATATTATATTTAAGCAGTGATCAACTAAACAAGATTTATGATTGGGAGACTCAATACATGTGCTCTTAATGTGCCAAACTTGACACTCAATGCTTGTGTTCTTCATGTGCTAAAGTAATCATCTCACGTATGTAGTATTTTAAGGTAAAATATATTTTATATTATGGAGCTACCAGCTAATATTGCACAAAAGAGAAGAATTGATTATAAAAGCAATAACATACTGAAAGTGAGATCTGTGGTATATTTCTTTGAAAAATTAGAAATAAGACCACCTACTTGTCCTTTATAGTGGCATAGTATTTAAAGTGGGACGAGGAGACCACGGGGGAAAAAAAAATTTCCACATTTTAATTTAGTATTGATGGATCAAAGGCATTGGTGATGATCTATTTAACAACCTAACATTACTGAACTGATCTACAACATGAATCACCTAATAGTCCAAAGCGCACAAATCTTCCAGCCCTTTTTTCCGTTTATTTGTTCCAATTTCAATTGTATGCATTACATGTACACTGTAGTATAACACAATATCCAGAGGTATCCATCAGAAGCAGATCATGAAATTTAGTTTCAACAAGGAAAAAACAAGGGGAAGTCAGGATTAGAAACTTCTTTCGACTACCTGTGTTGATATGCGTGGATCAACATTGTGCTTTGATGGAATAGTTACCCCACGTTCCTTTTCTTGTCTAACTCCTGAGCCAACTTTCGGCATAGCTCCTTGCCTGAGATGACAAATAAATGTCTCATTATGGGAAAACATAATCACCAATTCCTATAGTTTCACTGGGTTTTGCTTTTAGTTTCTATAGGATTTTTTCAGTATTTTCAGTCTCCATAATTTCAACAAGAATGGGTGACATTTGTTACTTAGGTCTTTATAGTATCAGTGTTTTTAGTGTTACACAAAAAAAAAAAAAAAAAAACTATAGAGACTAAATGCAAAATCTGATTATAATAAGCAGTAGGCTTAAATTATGAGAAAGCCTCCCATTTGACAATATAAATCAATCAAGCAGTTCAAAAGGCAAACAGTTGGAATACTAGCTGCCAAAACAAAAATCTCTCCCAGTTTCTTACTCAACTTAAGAGAATCAATAAATAGCAAGTACCTTCTGGTTTCTTCATCCCGTAATTTAGAATCAATCTCTTTGCTGGGAGGATACTTTGGTAAACTTGATGGATCACAAGCAAGGGGCTCTGTAGAGAAGAACTAGCAATAAAGGAAAAAAACATCAATAAGGAGAATCATATACAATGAAAAAGGTCTCCTGCGATATCTTGTTTAAGGCATTGCAGGAGAGATACAGCTACTTTCTACTTCCCAATATAGCAGTATGGTGACAATAAATATCTTGATTTAACTATTTCTTTGTATGTTACAAAAGTTCTTTTTAGGTTCTAACTTCATGATTCAAACATCTGTCCACGTCTAAAATAGGATAAAGGTGCTATTTAATCAACAAGTCTCTGGGAAACTGATAAGCAACCCAGCCAATTGGTGCAGATTAATATGAAAAGATTTTATAGCTGAGAAAATCAAGGAAGGAAAATGAGGACAAAGACAAAACTGGGAGAATATAACAAAAAAGAGTTTTGCTGCTCAGGCACATATTAAGATGAGGAAAAGTTACTCAGTGCCATTTGGATCATGCTGGAATAGGACAACTCAGTCTCAACCAGACACATTTATAGATCATATAGGAAACATAACCGGCATACCTCACTTTTCAGAGCACTTTCTGCTGTCCCTCGTTGTGCGGGATCTATAGAAAGTAGTGTCTCAATAAGCCTCACTGAAGCAGATGGATATTCTTTAAATGTTTCTGTAATACTTCGTCTGTATCGGTGCGGGGGCTTGAATACTGCAGCATGTGGCAATCGCTGTTTTAGCCAATAGTCCTCAGATGGTGATCCACAAAGCTTGAAAATCCTGTGCAGTTGCTCAACCTACATGGAATTAAATCTAATTATATATAACTACATTAACATTTAACTTACAATATCAATTTGACAAAGCAGAAGCAACTGTTTATTCTAGTATATATGAGCTTGGAATTATGCAAGAAAGTGGAACCCGCCAATGACTTAACTGTAAACTTGACCGTGGACAGAAAGGGGTAAAAGACAAGGAGATAACCTGACAGGGTCCCACAACCCTTGAAAACCTACAGCAGATGTAGGAAGAGGGCCAGGACCGCAGACGGGAGTAGTTGCGGGGTGATAGGAGAAACAGTAAGAGAGGATATGGAAACGTGCAAGATCCGAATGTGTTGAAGTAGTGGGTGTAAAAGTCAATAGGGGAGTGGGTGTGGCAGAACACACGAGAGAGCAGTAGTTACTCCATAGCTAACTGCTGCACATACCGTCCACTAAATAGTAGATAGGAAGTTATTTACTTTGTTCATGTTATATTCTCTAATCATTAAGTCTAATCTTCAGGCCAAAAAAAAAAAAATCTAATCCTTGTATAGTATAAATAGGTAGAAGCTAATAGAGGTAGGGTAAGATTATGAGTTGTTTATATAATTGGAAGTTTTCCTTTCTGGATTACTAGAGTATGATGTGTTGAAGATCTTTTCCACCTACTGCTCTAACAATATTATTGGCTTTATTAGTTTTATAGGTTAAGATCCTTGCTCACGTTATCTATTAAAAGATTCTTTCCTTTCTTTTCACTTTATCCATTTTAGATTATATCGTAACGCACAAACAAAAAGGGACCATCACTATTTTACCCAAATAGTATAAAGGAATGAGTAAATGTCCACTACGTATTTGCACTGCATATGTAATTTTTCATTCATAATTCTTAAATAATAATTATGCTCAGAATTTTCAAGGCTTCAAGCATTCTCATTTGATCTCTCAGATTAAGATAAATAGAAATTCTATATAGCATACATCAAAAGCATTAATGAAGCCTGATGACCAGTAGTGAAGGCATTTATAGATTGAGATTGAATGATGAAAGTAGATTCTTGATTATCATACCTCTGTTTTTCCTGGCAATATAGGCCTGCCAGTAAACAGTTCCCCAAGTATGCAACCAGTGCTCCATAAATCTACCGCGACTCCATAATGAGATGCTCCGAGTAAAAGTTCTGGTGGTCTATACCAGAGAGTGACTACACGACTGGTCAATGGAACACTATGATTGGGGTTAAAGAAACTTGCCAAACCAAAATCTGCAATTTTTAAGATGCCATTGTTGTCAATGAGAAGATTTGAGCCCTTTATGTCACGGTGGAGGACGCCCCGACTATGACAATGATCCAACCCACGAAGAAGTTGTTGCATGTAGCACTTAACCTGATAAGAAACATTACTTCAGACCTTCTCACATCAAAATGAAGACGGAAAGCACAATATCAAAAAGAATTGGTCATTACCTGTGGTTCAGAAAACTTGATGCCAGGACGTGATGCTAGTCCAGAAAGATCGTGCTCCATATACTCAAAAATGAGGTACAAGCTGCGAGAGGTCTGAGATGTTATCAAGCCTTCCAACTTGATAATATTTGGATGGTCAAGTCTACGCAGAAGGAGGATTTCCCTTGCCATAAACTTTACACTCTCAGGATCAAGGTTATCAAACCGAACTCTCTTCAAAGCAACAATCTTTTGGTGAGTCACATCACGTGCTTTATAAACAGTACTGTAAGTTCCTTGGCCAATCTGCAAGGTCAGATGTCATGGCTTATTGGAAAAACAAATAGAGCATCATCTCCACACAGAAGAAACTGACGTTGCAATAAGACATAACTAGACCAACCCAACCAGTATTCTCTTTTTGTACAAAAGAATGAGAAATAACCTTGGAACTTCTAAGAATCACATGCAATTGCAAAAACGAATTTTTATGCAGTACCTGGTCTCCCAGTTTTTGAAATCAAATTCTCCTAAGTACCTTTCATTTATTCCCAAAAAACTCAAGGTTCCTTATAAGTGGGGATCAGCCAACAATTACCCTGGTTTATATTTCATGAATAAAACATCCACAGGATTACTTGTATTAATCATTTTGATGTGATAAAGATAATTATCTTCTGTGAAAGCAAATATTAGGGTAGTTCTATTGAGAAAAAGAAACCGGTTCCAGTTATAAATTTCTACTAAATCTAACCATAAAAAATTAATAAGAGTTTCTATGACATGGTAATGAGTACAGAAATTTGGCAATTGCATTTACAACATAGTACGAATTACCTATGATAAAAGTGCGACTCAAAACTTAGACTGAGTAAATAAACACTGAATAAACTAGATAGTTAGTAACTTACTTTATTTAACCTCTCAAAAGTATTGGCACTTCGAGGTATCCATCCCTTGATAGCTTCACCAGCCACAGAAGAAAGCCAACTCGGCCATCCTGCTGCAACTTGCTCTCCTTCTGCAGCCTTTGGGACCTTTCCAAGACCAGGGTTGTTAAGGATAGTTAATTCAGGCTTCTCTATTTCCTTATTCCCCGTTTGATCATCATACAACTGAAATGGGCCATTGGTTTTCTTGTCAATCAATGAAATCTTCACATCACTTCCTTCCAACTTATCTGCTGCCCAAACCCCCTCGTTTCTTTTAGAGGAATTCAATCGTGAAACACGTAGCTCTGACCCTCTCTTGCTAGATAAAGATTTCTTTGTCAAATCCTCTCGGCCGTCTTCCACGGCTGATGTCTTGGAACTGATGCAGCCCATGTTGCACTTAGCTAATTTACAACTATCTCACCCTTCAAAAGAAAAGCTCAAGTGCTCGCAAGCCAAAGTTTCTCGTTCGATCAAGACCTTCATAACGATCCATACACAGCTGCAAACTGATTCTATTTGTCCAAAAGAAAAAATGGGACTTCTCCTCATATGCTCATGCCCAGATCATGTTATGACCGTCCGTCAAAGCACTGACCATGAATCTAAAAATTCACGCTCTATCCAAGTCTTTGAAAACTTCAAACTGAGCAAATTCTAAGGCCACTGACTTCAATCAAACACGCAACCCTCCAATAACACCGCAGCAAGAGCCGCAAACTATGAAGAAAAAGAAAATCTTCTGAAAAATAAAAAGTAAATAGAGGAAGGCAATGTATGGAATTATGGCGATTGAGTATACCTCGTAGAGCTTCAAATTGAGAGTAAGGAAATGGATGGATCAGAAGCGTAATAACAGAGAAGGTTGGGAGGTATCGCTTGAAGAACAGCTGAAAGTTCAACGCGTATTAATGAAATTAAAAGAGCATTATGGTCTCTTAGACGGCTTTTGCCGGCTGGGCTCAGTCAAAAGACTCCACTTTCTTTCTCTGTCAATTTTCCAATTTTTATACTGTGCATCGCTCCTCCTCCTCCCTTTTTCCGTCATTGAAACCATTGGCGTCGGCTTTGCGTTCCCAGCAGGTAGTTGAGTTCTGTTCCTCCTTTTTAATTCGGTATGTAACGCGTTTTTCCAAATATTAAATAATTAAATAACAATTACCAATATAATATCAGTAGAAGCAATAAAATTTATATTTCCTATAAACAAAATATTGTGTATCACCTCTCTCTTCTTTGGAATAGTACCAATATATGTCAATCTGTTACCTCACCTGTGTTTTCGTTCTTTATAAAAATTCAAAATGTAGTACTCTCTTCCTTAAGCTATTTCTTAAAAAGAATAACCGATAACGTCTCTAATTAATTAATTATTTATATTTAAAATTATATTTTCTTTTTATGCTTATCTTTATTTAATAAATGATTTTAATTATAAAATTCATTTAATTATATTTTTAATTAAAGCTATTAAAAAGATCATTAATTTCATATTGAACTACTCAAAATGTATTATATTTTTAACATTTTATTTTATAAAAAATATCTTAGATTTATGAAAGAATTACAATAAAATGCCACATGAAAAATTAATTATTACACAATCTATTAACAATTATAATAATATTGTTTTGTAAATGGATTTATTTTAATTGCTAACAAACCTTGTAATAATTAATTTTTTTGTGTACATCTGTGTGTAATTTTCTTTATATTATTTAAATGAAGAAATGAATGACTTTTATGGAATAGGAATGAAATAGGAAACAAAAAAAATCATGATAAAAACACAAGAAAAAGTTATTTTCTCTCCGTCTAGTTTTCTATTGACTAAACAATGGTGAAAAATATTTTTTACTATAATTTTTTATTTTTATTTTATTTTCATTCTAAACAAAGCATTAAGGATTCATATTGGCTTGATGCCTTTTCATTCTTTTTTTTTTATTTTCTTGACATCTGAATCGTCTAAATCATATTTAGAAAAGTTGGATTTAACATTTAAAAAAATTCTGGTAAGAAATATTAAAAATTTGAAAACTAACAATTAAGATGTCGAAATGAAAAAGAAAAAACACACACACATGATGTAAATCATTGAAAGGAGATATCAATTCCGGGCCTCCAAGAAAAGCTAAGGAGGAAGAAGTGGAACAGAAAAATAAGGGGGAAAAGAAAGAAAAAAAGTTTTTAAAAAATGGTCTTATTGAATTTAGGTATCGGAATTTCTATTGATCACTGCGGGATAATTTTTAATAAAGTTGGAAAAATGCTTTGACCAAGCCACACTGGGATCATGACTTTTGTAGAAGTCATGATATGAATAAGCAGTCCACGCAACAATTCAATAAAATATGATGAGTTCAGGCTTCAAAAGAAAGAGAGCGAAATACATAATAATTGCCCATCAAGTGATATAGTCATAAATCTGATGCTTGATATTAAAATTGAATAGTACAGATTTAATTTTATTTTTAATTAAAAATTAGAATAATAAAAATTTTAATCTCACTGACTTAGTTATTGATTTAGTTCTTTAAATTTAATTTTTATAAATTTAATTCTTAATATTTTCTTAAATTATCATATTAGTCGTTTAAGTTTTAAAATATAAATTAATTTTTAAATTAATTTTATGTATAAAGTATATTAATGATTGGACATAGTAGTTGAATGAGAACAAATTAATCATCAAATTAAGTTAATTTTAATCAGTACAATCTCTTACATTGTATTTATTTGTTTTTTAAAATTTTATGTTTTCCTACATAAATAATTATATTTTTTTATTAATTTACATGGTTGCAATATATATTTTGTTATTCATGTTAATGGATTTTAATATTGTTATTTTTTAAAATAATAAGGATTAAGTCAAATATTAAAATAAACTTAAAAAATTAAATCAATAAAAATTAAATCGAATGACCGTACCAATAATTAAAATAAAATTTGAAAAAGTAAAAATTTTATTATCCTTTAAAAATTCGTGGACCCAAACTTCTGTACGATGGGGCCAAAGCCTCTTACACGTTATTATCTGGATGAAAATCACATTTTCTCCAAAACCAACAAATTTTGAAATACACGGGTCATCATTCATCAGTCATCACGGTACGGTATGGCAAGAAACACCCAATCCCAACCCCAACCCCTAAGAAAAAGGGGAAAAAAAAAGTTAAAGGGTCATGTGTGCTAAAAACAAAAGCAGGTGCTCTTAAAAACTAAAAAAGATTCCTCTACCAATACCATATTCCAAAAGCTCCGACGTGTTACCGTCACCAACGGTTGAAATTGTGGTTGAAAGTTGAGCTTGATTCGGTAAGCATTTTATATCCTGATTTAACCTTTTTTATATTGAGTTAGTTATGTTGGAGAAAGTTGCATTTTTAATATTATTTATGAACAATGAAAAATGTAGGTGAATCCAGTCTAGTTGTATCGTAATAAATGAAAAAGACTGCCCTCATTAAACAAGAACGTTTGGAAGAGATTGGAGATTAGAATACGATGTCGTCTTTATGGAACAATATATTTTCTTACCAAAAACAAAAACACGACGCGGTAGGCAGGGCCACCAGGATGTTGCCACTTGCAACCAACGATATTTCGCCACCGGACTCTGACTTTATTAGTGTTCGTGTAAGAACATGATTTTTATGTGGAATTCAAACATGAACAATATAAAAAAAAATGAATAGGATTTAGTTATGAGTCATCCGATAGAAATATACGCTCAGAAATTGAAAGCGTCATGAAATAGGACGCGATGTCAAAAATTTATGTTATGTCAACCATCCCGTCGCTGTTACCAGATCACTACAGTTGTTTGATTAATAACGTGGTGGGATTACCGATAAAGGTTAGGTTTAATAAAAGAGGTTGTTCTCACACAACTTAATAAATTAAAATTAAAATTTTTATTAAAAATTAAAAATATTTATATTTAATATCTAATTATACATTAAATAAAATTGCTTTAAATATTTGTAAGTAATAAAAAAAAAAAGATGGTGGGGCTGGAGCATGTTTATTGTTCAGTGAGTTTGGCACTTGTTAAATAATGTAATAAAATAGTACTTTGGAAAAAATTATCGAGGAAATCGTGGGGGTTGAGTGAAATAATTAAAATCAGCTCCGCCATTAATTATAACCACTTCACAATTCCCACTAACCGAACGACGAGCTTACTTGTGGGGGTTTTAACAGATTTTGAATGCGGTAGGTTGCTGTTAATGGTACAGCAAGAGAACACGTGTGCCACTAACCCTAACTAAACAATCAACGAATATATATACTTTCTTAGAACATTATTACAAGTCACCTCAGGTTACCTCACCCAAAAGAAAACATGGATAAGTTGTTATCTTTATATGAAAATATAATAAACTCTTATTTAAATAAAGAAATATTAAATTTACATCACATTTTCTCTTATAAATAGTTTAAATAGGGATTGTATTGAAAAATATAATTAATGTTCCATTAAGCATGTTATGTTAATGACCAAAATATCATTCTAAAAACACACTATAATACAGACTAAAAAAGTACTTCTTTCTTTTAAATTATATGATACTTTTAAAAGAATTTTTTCATTTTAAAATATAAGATGTTTTGAATAGATTAAAATTTCATTACATACATCAATTTTAATATTACCTTTTCTCTTTTTATGATAAATTTTTATCCTTTCTTTTTTGAATATATTAAATAATTGATATTTTTAAGAGTTTATATTTTTTTTGAAAAGATAAAATTGTAAAGTGTATTTTATGAGGTTTATTAGTACATAAAATTTGTCTAAAAGTGTCTTATAATTTAAAATGAATGGAGTATATTTTTACACAAGTTTGAATAATTAATTTTCTCTACATGGGATCACACAAAGATATAACCTAATGTTTGCACGGACATATAAACATTAAGCCAATGTCGTGTTATAGTAAGTTTTGCAGAAGCTTTATAAATAAAGTAGGGTTTATAAATTTAAGAGATTTTTTTTTAATTTTAATAAACTAGTCTTTCAAATTATTATTTTCTTTAAAACTGTGTTCATAACACGTGATAATTTAATGAAATATTTTTTTAATTTGATCGGTGGACTTCTATTAAAATATTTTATAAGATAAGTTTTTGATCTTTTTATCCCATATTGCTCTTTTGAATTATTTTTTCGTTATACTTCATATTATGAATAGAAAGAATGTTAGATAAATTTCTCAGAATACAAAAATGATAATTTAATCTCACAAAATGTGATAATCATGGTAAGATTTTAAGAAAGTTCTTTGAGATCAAATTTGTATGTGAAGTCACTTTAATTATCCTTTACAGTTTAGAAAGTTTTGATTTTTCAAATTGTTTTAATTATTGGTGGAATCAACCCTTTGAAGACTTACACCAAATTTATGAATCATATAAAATTAGTTAGATTTTGCTTACTGAAAAAAAGTACTTATAGAAAGTTGTGCTTTTTTAAATCGTTTTAGTCATTGATAAAACAAAATTGATGAATAATTATATTAAATTTGTGAACTATATAAAATTAGCTGTATGAAAGTACTAAAGTTTCACATAAAAAATTAATCTTAAATAAGTCCTTTAGAACCTCACTGTAATTATCATATTTTATGTGATTAGATTATCATTTTCTTATGGATTTATCTATCATTCTCCGTTATGAATATGTGTGGAAGCCACTTTGGAACTTTAATGCTTTGATGCTCTCAGACCAAAGGAGAGGTACTGGCAAGCTGAATATATACAGGTTCGCTCTAGTTTCAAACAAAGGCTCGTGTTAGTTAATCATCATCAATATATATTAACAAAACTCGTAGAATGATATTGATTGGCCAAATAAACCTCCACTCTAATTGGTCAATGCATTGGTCTGATGTAAATATCACATCCTAATTAGTTGATTTCATTTAATATGTATCCAACTTCTATAGGTTCGGTCATAGTTTTGGACACGTTCATTCCCCCCAATTTTCAGACTTCAAATGTACATAGAGAGTGCCATGAGAGCATTAATTGATTCCGCCTTCTCCATTTCTGTCCCTCTCTGTTGCACTTTTCCATGTTCTTCCTTTGCACTATTTATCGTAGACCCCAGGTGCAGTTGATTAATTTCATATTTTTTTCAACTTAAAGATAGTTCCATTTGCTCTTCTTTGCTTGCAATTTTACAATTCAGAGACCATTCCATTTGTTCTTCTATAATCTATTTTATGATATTTTAGCAATGGCACCGTCTGTTTTTACCAAACCGTGGTCTCGTCGCTAGCATGCCCACCTTTCTTTTCGTCACCAGTTGTCATAGAAAGGAGGTCTAGTTAGGTGTGTTTGTTGGTCGTTGACGTTGTCATCAATAATAGGGATGTTCATTTTTTTTCAGAAACACGGAAACAAAGATGGCATGAATAAGAGCAAATCACGATTTAAGGTTTTTTTGAGGACTGGTGACATTATGCATTCCTAACAGAGTGTTCATATTTGATTTGGTTATTTATTCAAATTCTTACCAAGTAAATAAATTTCACTTTAGAATCTTGATATGAATTTTAGGTGGCAGTAAGTTTTTTTTTCTTTCAGCCACTCAATACCAAATTGTCTCCAGTAAAGAAGAGATGTGCTTCTGCTTCATTTTCTTTTTATCCTTCTCTCCATCTTATAGATATAAGCAATTTGTTTTTATGTCTTGATGTAATATGTTGTTGAAGTTTCAAAAGCTTTGTTTTGTTTCTTTTATGTTTTTTTTTTTTTTTGTTGCAGGATTGAACGGGCTTATTTCTCAACTTTCTCTATGTAAAACGCTTAATTGGGGCATGTTTGACAAGAAGGGAGAATTTATCTTAGATGATCAAACATAAGGCTAAATTTTCCATTTTTCACCAAATTAATTAAAGATATCAAGAAAAAAACGACATTGGTAAGAAATTTTTTGGATAAATCCATTAAGAAATCCGTGCCTAATGATCATCCCCTCGCTTAAATTTTGGCATAAAACCATCTCTTCATACTGACAGGACTCATGTTTTACCAAATTAAGCTCACAAAAAATAACATCCAAAAAATTGTTTTGTTTGTAATATCTATTAATAAATTAAAAATAAACCCAAATTTTGTTTTAAAGTAAATATAATAAATTATAATATAAAATTGACTTCTTTATTGTTTGTCAGCCATTTGAGATTTAATTTCCCACGAGTAACGGTACAAGGAAGTTTATGAAGAGATGCTCCAGGCTAGTTGATGCTCTAAAACAGCACAACGATATATAGCCGCGTTAAAAGAAAACAAAAGGAGCACCAAAGATTAAAATATATATATATATATGTATGTATGTATCTAAGAGCTATGAACTAAACTAAACAAAACTAAACGAGGAGACTAAGGGCTTGTTTGGTTATTGTTTTCATTTTTTGTTTTCAAAAGTTATTTTATAAAACAATTTTAAAAACTGTTTTTGAGAACAAATAAAAAATAAACTTGTTTGGTAACAGGAATTCAAAAACAGTGATAGAATTAAAAAAACAAAGAAACTTGCTTGACAAAATTAATATTAAAAATAAGTTCTAAAAAATAAAATATAATAAAACTCATTTGATAAAAATTGTTTTGAATGTTATTTTGCTTGGCAGAATTAGTCTATATGTTGCTGCCAATAAAGTATAATTTATTTTTTGAAATTTCCCTACAATTTACAAAATGAGCAACATTTATAAGAACATAAAAATTTATAGACGTAAAATTATTTGTTTAATTTTCTAATTAAACCAAGATAGACATGTAATTATTTAATATTATTAACACATGAAAATTTATTTATTTAATTTAATTAAATAAAAATATGTTAAGTATATAAAGTTATGTACATAAGTTTGCTTTTATATATATATATATATATATGTATGTATGTATGTAATAAAACATTAACAAAAGCGGAAACATTTTTCAGAAAATGAGAAATGACAAGTTTATATTATAATAAAATGAGATATTCTAATAAATACTAAAAGAATCTACAATTATTACAATAAATGAGATAGAAATATAGTTAAGCAAAATAGGGTAGAATCAATTGAAAATCATAAACCAATTATTTTGTATAAATAAAAGAAAGCCTTAACATAAGCCTAATTATAGAGAGATCAAATTGAAAGAAATCAAATAGCAGAGTAGCATGAGGTTGAGGAAGACAAAAATGTTTGAATCAGTGATCACCAAAACCATCCTTCTAGCAGTGTGGGAACAGAAACAGTGTTTTTTGTTTCCCACTTTTACTCGGTAAAAACAAAAAAATAAGAATAGAAACAGTTAAAAGTTGTTTTGGTTTTTTTGTATTTAAAAACAGAAAATTAAAAACTGTTTTTAAAACAAAAATTAAAAATTCATTAACCAAGCAAGTTTTATTGTTTTGAAAATATTAAAATAAAAAAATTGTTTTTAAGAATAGAAAACAAACAGGCTCTCTAAGTTTCTTTTTTCGTTTTTTTACCTCGAACAGGATAATAGCAGATTGAAGTTATATTCGGGCTTGAAATTTTTCCCCAAAGAACTTTGTTTGCAAGTGGCAGCCTCCAACAGTGAGAGCTTGTGCACAGCCACTAAAGCAAGGCTGAAAAGCAGAACAAGCCCCAAACAGAATCACCCACCTCCACCTCCACCTCCACCTCCACCTCCATCTGTAGTCCATTCTTTGCCAAGAAACGACGTGCGTTTTACTTCCTCTTTGAATTCCCATTTCACCCTCATAAAATTCCCAAAACTACGCCAAGTTTTCAAATCATTAACTCCAAACGCCTGGCGGCACGGACCAATCACTTTCCCATGAATTCACACGTGGCAAGACTATATGGAGAGTCCGTTCCCCGCGTTTCAGAGCGCGGGTCATTGAAGCATCCATGTCTCCTGTCTCACACAATCTACATTCCCATCGACTAGAGTCAGACTCACAGAGTCAGAATCCTGAAAAGAAAAGGAGCAAAACGCGCAAATCAATCAGACAGTATCTTTTCAAAAGCTAGGAAATTACCGACTTGTGAGGAAAAGTTTCAGATTGCTTCCGTCTATGGCAAGGATCGAAGAGGTGGGACCAGAAACACCGGTTACACCTCCTGCTTCGCCGCCGCCGCCGTCTTCCTGCATGTTTCTCTTGAGAATCATGAGCAAGAGGAGAACCTGGGCGTGTATGTTCGTGCTTGTGTACGGTATCCTGCTCGTTTTTTCGTGGAATTTCCTGAAATCGACGCTTTCTTGGTACAATTTAGAAGCCCAATCTTCGAGTTCCGGATGGCCGGCGCTTTACGCTTCGGTGCTTCTCGGAGTTGTGTTCGGGGTGCTCTCTATGGCGGCAGCTCTGGCGGTGATGGTGCCGGCCGTCTTGGTGACGTGGATCGCCGTGGTGGTGTTGCTGGCGTTCTTCGGAAAGCCGAGGAAGGCTCTGGTGGTGGAAGCGAGGAAGATCACGAGGGAGATCTTCAGTTTCGTGATGAGGGTTTTGCTAAAGGAGGGGAACGTTGTAGCCGCACTTTGTGCTGTTTTGGGGTATTTCGCTCTGGTTAGAAGGAACGGTGAATCAGTGATTGATTGAAGAGAAGATGGTGGTCGGTTGGTGCGATTTGGTAAAGTGTCATGGTGTCGTTTCTGACACTGCGTGGTCGTTTTGCTGCGGTTGTAAATTTGGGAGTCAAACAGGCAACGTTGTTCAGCAAAGCTACGTAATTAAGGTAACCATATTTACTAATCCTCGTGTATCATTCCTTTTCTTGCTGATTCATTAATTAAATACATGACATCATTTACTTTTTTCTTGTTAGTCTCATGTAAACTTTAACAAGTCTTGTTCCATTGCGTGTTGTCAATGCAATGAGGCAATGACACGGTTGTTTGAGAATTGAGATTGAATTGAATTGAATTGAAAAGTTGCTTAGGTTGTAAACTAAATGGGATTCGGAAGTAGCTGTTTGGTGGATCGGTGTGTGTGATAGTGATGGGGTTTGAGCCTTTGAGGAGAAAATGAAATGGGACAGTTAGTTGGGGACAATATGGGTGAAGACATGTTGATGAGATTGGTAACGAGGATGTTGTCCTGATAAGCAAAGGATTGAGTAATAATTGAAGGAGAGGAGACGATGGGGAGGGTCAAATGTGGGTCAAAAGTATGAAACATTGACAAGGAAAGCAAATCGGTTAAGTTGAAGCAGACAATGACAACCCAGCTGTGAACATTCATCATCGCTTGGACCAAGTTCCTATTCCTAAGCAAATCCTAAAGGCTCTACCTGCTTGCTTATTGGGCAGTTATCATGAATCTTTAAAAATTCTATAATACAGTGATTAACAATGTTAAAACCTTTTATGTTATTCACATTAAACCATGAACCGGATATTTAGAGAACAAATCCATCATCCATTTGTTTTGTCCCGATAGAGATCAGGATCAGCTACAGATCTCTGATGATGTTAATGTCATTCTTTAGTTCCCATCATTTTTAAATATTTAGTTTCGTTTAAATATATAGCGTTGACTAAATACTTGTGTCGTATTCCTATCATCACTCAAACAAAGCTTCCATTTGCAATATATAAATATACATAGAGAGAGAGAGAGAGAGTCTTCCTCTTCCTAGCTAATTTATGGAATATCTTGTGCGCGCGCTTGCGCACTTGTACGCAAATGTGAACAGAGATTAGGTAATTTTGAATATAACATTACACAAAAACTTGATTGGATTTTTTGGTTTTAAAAAAAACTTGTTTCGATTTTAAATAAACTATAATGTTGATCAGGTCAGCAATTTTAATGTAAGTTCAAAAATGTTAAAACCCGATAAATTACGTCATGTTCAAATCTAATTGTTGTTGAGATGATAATATATTCAAGCAAGATTCAAACGCAGCCTTGCATCTCAATTATCATTTTCCAGAAGTATGGTCAAGATCACTTTCTTCCATTGAATCTGACTATTCAACTCAATGGAGTACAAAAAAAGGAACCATGCACAAAAATTAATCAAATAAACAGCTTGAAATAATTGGAGGTGATAGTAATTTTGAATCTATTCAAGAATCATCATAATAAATTTGAGAGCATGTTTTCATTTTGCAAGACATGATTTATTAGCTGGTTTAGCATTTAGTTTATTTATTTATTTATTGCAATGTGGTGTAATAATAATTAGAAATCAATACCGCATAAGATGATTGTCGTACTAAAAGGTAATAATCATTCAGTGTAATTCAAGCAGGGGCATAAAAGGGATGATGAACATATAAAGATATTATACGAAAGAATAAAGCGCATGCGCCATAGATTATACAACAAGCCTATCATTAAAAATTATAGCCTGAGATTTAGATGTTCAACAAAGGAAACATTCCGCTCTAATTGGTCCGTGTAAAATGATTTTTCTAACTTCGTAAAAAAAGTTAAATAGTCGAGATTATATTTCAAATTTTTTACAGCCTTGTCACTCTTTAATACCAATCATAAATGATTTAATTTTAATGAAGGTGGAGTAATTTTAATATATTCCTAAGAGCATTTTAGGTAAAAATATTAATACCAATCATACATGATTTATTAAGGTCTACGTGTTTTTCTTTACTCTCTTTTTGACAAATTAAAGTGCAGAAACTTGCATTTTTTTCTTTGGCAATTATTACAAAATTCTATCATGCTCTTGAAAAGATTAAAACTTATAACCTGTAGGTATGCCTTCTATTCTATGTACCATGTACATGTCTGTAAATATTACGCTTGTCGTCCAAAAACACGACAAAATGATTAATCTTCATCCACGTCTATATTAGAAGTAAATTTTAAACATATTCCATGATTGAATTACTAGAGAAATGACATATTTCATATGTTATCTGAAAAAAGCCATAGCATAGTATATCCACATATTTTTTCTTCCATTTTTGAAAGAAAATATTTGACTTGATTTTCTTATATTGTATTTGATCAACCTAACATTTAATACATCAGTAATTCGGAGTGAAACAGAAATGTTTTTTGTTCCAGCAAATGAAGTGAGTAAATTTTGGTCGTTCAACATATGCATGAGATAAGGGACAATATATTGTGAAATGAGTTAAAGATTATTTTTATTCTTAAATTATATGCATGAAAGATTATAAATATTTCTAAACTTAACTATGGATTAATTTCATCTTTTAATTTTAAATATTACTTTTGTCATCATTTTAACATTAAAAACACCTTATGTTTATTAGTAATTATTAGATCTCACTATTTTTTTTATTTTTTTATCAAGTTAAGAATCATTTTTGCTCCTCAATTCAAATATTTTACAATAAAAATATAATATGGAATCCATTAACTATGAGAAAATGGTAGGGTGATGAGGAAGATAATCTTTAAAATTAAAGGATAGAATTGACTCATAATTAAGTTTAAAAACATTGTAACCTTTCGTGTATAATTCAAACACAAAAATGACTCTTGACCCTTTTATAATTGATTTTTTTTTCTTACTTACGAGGGAATGTATTTGATCGATCGATCAGATTTTTGCATGTACCCTTCATTCGTTGTGTTTGTTGTGTTGTGTATAATAAAAATAAAAAATACAATGAAATGTATTATTAACAAAAAAAAGGAAGAATGACATATAAGTCCTAAAGAGACCAATTAATTCAAATTAAGTTACATGTGTTAAACTTTTGAAACTTATAAGTTTGGCTTTTAATTTTATAATTTTATTATGATAAATTTGTAACTTGTGTTGAAATTATAATAGGAAAAATAAATTTATTTATTTTTCAATCGTGTTAAAATTTAACAAATAATTTGCAAATTTATCATAATAAAATTACAAAATTGAGAGCCAAACTTGTAAATTACAAAATAGAGTTTGATATTTGAGATTTAATTTGAATTAATTGGTCCTACCTATTTGTCATTCTCCAACAAAAAAAAAACAAACAAACTCCCAAAGTAGTTTTGCCTCCAAATAAAATCGAATCAAGACACATTTAAAATTTCAAAGATATTAACAAATATGATTACAAAAAAAAAAAGATATTGCCAAATATCAGTTGCCAGCGCCACAGGAACAGAAAATAATTTCCATGACATATACTTTACGTTTATTAAAATTTAAAAAACCATTTAATCATAGCAAAAAAAAAAAAAAGGGAATCATGAGGGGCAAACGAATATGTTTCATGGGAGCCATATATTATTATCCAGACTCAAAAAGTAACCATGACTTATAGTCTTATACTGATATCCATATAAGCTATTATCACAGAAGGATTACTTCTATTAGAAAAGTCAGTTTAAAGATGGTTATCGAAATTTATGCTCGAACCACGTAAATATGTTACACTGTAAAGAAAAGAACAAAAAGGTGGCAAGCATTTTTCATGGAACCGGCCTTTGATCCAATAGCAGGAACAACAATAATGATAATAATGATGCAGCGTGGGTCCTGCATTATCTTAGTTTTATTATTAGCAGAACGATACATTATTATCTATCCATAAAAAGTTTCGAATAATTAAGATGCTACGTTGCTCATGCAAACAACCTAACTTTATTTACATTACGACCATTTCTTTTAGAACACCTCATGACCTCAACAATTCATCCTAAAATCTACTGAAAACCGAACTAACTGTCATTAACAGCGATGGTTCAAAATTGAGTGCTTCAATTATGGTTGAAGTAAGGTTAACTTAATCACGATTAAAATAGCATAATTTAATTAACATATGAGTGTAAAAATATTATATTTAATCTGTAAAGAAGTACTATTTAAATAAAAATTCTTTAATTAATAAGTAAATAAAAACACACACGCGTAAACTATGCATAATTAAGAAATAATTTGTTTCCAAAAAAAAAAAAAGAACACGGAAGCAAAAATATGATGGATTGCTATTTTTAATTTTTTTAAACTCAAAACCATATCGTTTCAGGTTCAGTAGAAGGGGGAAAATGTGAAATTTAACCCTATCAAGTCGTTTAAAACTCTTGTTCGCATCGGCTGAGTATGTTTCCCCGGTTCGCTGTTCACTTGTTTGAATGGTCAAACTGGATTTGGTTTTACTACAAAAATACATTTTTTCTATCTGCTTGATTATTTAGCCTTTTGACCATTCCTATGTATACTAAACTGATTCCTTAAATTGGGGTTTGGTAAATGAAATTTTATTTCCAGTTCTATGAGATTATCTGAACGAATTAATTATACTCGAATGGAATTGATAATTTAGGAGAAAAATTAATTTTGGAATAGTAGATATTAAGAAGAGAAGAGATAAAATAAATTAAAAGCACAGTATACAAATTTAAAAAAAAAAATCAACAGCAGCTTATAAAAAAAATAATAAAAGGTATACTGATCAATAGGTTCGTGGGTAAAACCGTGAAACTGGAAGAAGTACACGTGGTTTGCTGGTACAGTGAAGACGTAGTATTTTCTTCTCTTTTTTTTCCTTGTCTTGTTTTTTTTTTTTTTTTTGTCATTTTCCGGTGCTCTAATTGCGCAATTGCTCATGGCTATACAGACACATTGATACGAACACGCATAGATTGTCCAAAGTCCAAACCTTGATGGAGTGGGCTCCACGTGAGACAAGCTTTGAAATATGATCATGTCTGCAAATCCAAAAGCTTGCTCAGAAATATTAAATTACCAGAATATTTGCCACACAAGCTTAAAAAAACTCTACAGAAGCTCGACGGAGCGAGATTTTTCTTTTTCTCTTGGTTAATTTACTGAAATACAATTAATTCATTGCTTTAATTTGGTAAAAAGATTCAACGAGGCATCAGGGCCCGTAAGTCTAGAAATTGACAAGCCTTTGTTCTCTGAGATTAGAGAATATTAACTAAAACAGAACGAAGGAAGGGAAGCTGAGATAGCTTGTAATCCCAGATCTGATTACCAAACAGGGTGATATAAACGTTTCACCACGCTCATTTTCTTTTCCTGTTTTTTCTTTTTGGCTGTCTCAACCCTCATCATATTTTCTCCTTCGTCTCTCTCTTGTGGCAGTTTTGGAGGAAGAAGGCATGTGATTCTCGGCCTCCCTTACTTCTATGTATAGGAAGCCTTTCCCATTCATCTTATAAGTGCATTCTTATTTGAGACAGCAGTGAACTTTGCAGCTCGGAGTTAATGCCTTTCAACTCCATCGATGCTTCTGTCAGAGAGATCTAAGTACCCGAATCAGGTAGGTTTCAGAAACATTCTCCTTCACATCCGGTCCCTGTGAGGTTCACTAATTAATCTCCATTATCATCATCATCATCTGGTGTGATTGATTTGGGAGCTTTTTTTTTTTTTTTTTAATGCAGAGCAAAAAGGGTGTCTGGGAATCTCTCCAATCTCCTAAATCTCGCTGGTCTTCGCCGTCCAGTATATGCAGAAGAATGGTTTCTGGAAATGGTCTGTTTTACCCTATTCTTGGTTTTGCTTCCTTTGTGATTTTCATATACATGTCTTTTGGAGACTTGAGGCCGAGCTTAAGGGAAGAACGAACCTTGTCTTTTGTGGAAAGAAATGGGACTCAGTTAATGTTAGATGGCAAACCTTTCTACATCAACGGGTGGAACTCATACTGGTTTATGGTTCAGTCTGTGGACGAATCTTCCAGACCCAGGGTTCGTGCCATGATTCAAGCAGGTGCGCAGATGGGTCTCACTGTTTGTAGAACTTGGGCTTTTAATGATGGGGACTACAACGCCCTTCAGATTTCCCCTGGTCGGTTCGATGAGCGAGTTTTTCAGGTACTGTGACTCGTTGTTCTTGCTTGCTGGTTTCTCGTCGGTCTTTCTGTTGTGATTTTTGTTTTCACGTACATTGCTAAAATTGAGTTGCTTGGGTAATTTATGATGGTAACAACGCTTGTTTCGTATTATTGTCGTGATTCATCATGGCAGGGTCTGGATTTTCCAAAATTTGTTCAAAGAACTGTCTAAGGTCAACGGAATTTGTAAAATATGTCATGAATCTTGAACCCCATAGCTATAGTATATATTGTATGCGATAGAATACAGACAAAAGGTAGCATGGAGTCTCTATGCGCCTTGTGGCCATGTCATGAATATAGAATGATGTTAAAAAGTCCTTTCGATTTTTTTGCCCCAAAATTTGTGTCCTTTAGCTTGATGATTCAACATGAAATATGCTGGATTTGTGACACTTATTTTCCATCCTTTTTTCCCATGAAGAAGGTTCTCCTTGATCCATCCTACAAAATTGTTCTAAGAAATGTGTGCTTGCATTTTCAAATTTTCATGATACGTTATTAAATTTTGTTTTATATAGTCTGTGTCCGAAGTCTCATTTAGTGCTAAATTTGCCCCTTTTGTCTTTTCTGGTCAATTCTTTTTAAGGAGAAAAAAAAAAGTTTCAAACATATTGAGCATTGGTTGGGTGGCAGGCCTTGGATTATGTCATAGCAGAAGCAAGGCAACATGGAATTCGGCTGCTCCTTGCCTTGGTCAATAACTTGCAAGCCTATGGTGGGAAGACTCAGTATGTCAAATGGGCATGGGAAGAGGGGATAGGGTTAAGCTCTTCCAATGATTCTTTCTTTTATGATCCATCAATCCGCAGTCATTTCAAGAATTATGTCAAGGTATTGTATTGTAATCTTTTTCTTGTAGTATTTTCTGTGTCATTTTGTAGTTGCTTTTATTTAAAAGAGCAATATGTAGAATTCCTGCATGGATGTTCTTGTCATCCTGCAGCGATAAGCTCTTGCGCTGTTATGTATTACTTCTCTGATGGCCTAAGCATTGTATTACTACACCAATCTTTCTGTACCTTTTTGTCCTAGTATTGATAGAAGATGGTTATTTAGATGGCATATTTGTCTCTGCTTGCCTAACTTGTTTGTAATTTGTGGGGCAGCTGGGCTGCTTACCCGAAATATTTTTCCATAATATGCAATGTTACCCAGTCATCACGTCTGTTGCTTAATGTATGAAGTTTGAAGTCTTACTATCTCCTAGGTTAAAATATGATTGTACATAGCTCCCATCCCGTTCAGGATGATGGCATGACTGTTTCTCTTTGCTTTTCATTTTGCTGGAGCCTGGACATAGTAATTCTGATGAATATTTCATATTTGTATCCTTGAGACTGTTCTTAATTAAACCATTAGCTTCCTCTGAATTCTTTTACAGACTATTCTGACAAGGAAGAATACTATCACAGGAATTGAATATAGAAATGATCCCACCATATTAGGCTGGGAATTAATTAATGAACCTCGTTGCATGACCGATCCTTCAGGCGACACTCTCCAAGTAAGCTCTCTCCAAGTATCGCAACCTGTTTGAAAATTTAAGTATGCTGTCAATGTTTTCGACTTGTTGAAAGTTAATCAAAACTTGATAATTTCTTCTCATTGTAATGTCTAAGTGTATGCTGCATGTTGCTTGTTCCTGCTTGAGGGCAAGAAAGAAAATCTCATATGTACTGTTTTTCTTTCCTCTACTATGTTTAAGGATGAATTGTGCTGACATGTCTAACTCTTAAGCTTGTCATTTCTACAAAATTGCTTACTTTATAACCTTTTTCTTGGTCAATTATCTGATGCTCATTGTGATACTTAGTTTTTGTTATTCTTTCTAAGGAGACAAGAAAAAAATAATAGACGAATTGGATGCTTTGAACCCTTTAAAAATAGTTATAATGTGGTTATGCTTGCTCTTCTGGTTCCATGTAAGCTTGTAAAAAGGAGCAAACAAAACAAATTAGGTGTTCTTAGGTCTCAGCCCTTGCAAATCTGAGAAGGGAAAGAAAATTATAGTGGCGTTACTGCTTCTAACATAGATATCTGAGTATCCATTGTTCTGATGTGTAGTGGTAGGAAGAATAGGAAAGATAGAAAGAGAAAGAGATAAAGAATAGAGAGACGAGAGAATAGGATTTCCTGAATAGTACTCAGTGATTTATTCTCCAAAAACATAGGCTCTGATGTATACAATTGATCCTTGTGTAGTAGTAGCCTACACCCAACTCCCATTATCTACTAACAGTCACTAACTCCTAACTAACTAACTATTTATTTAATTATAAGTTACACATCATATTCACTTCACATAAATTGCAGGACTGGCTTGAAGAAATGTCTGCTTTTGTCAAATTGATAGACAAGAACCATTTGGTGACTATTGGCCTTGAAGGATTTTATGGTCCTAATGACCCAAGAGGCCCAGCTGTCAACCCGGAGGAGTGGGCATCCAGGCTTGGATCTGATTTTATTCGCAATTCTGGGATTGCGAATATTGATTTTACCTCTGTTCATATCTATCCTGACCATTGGTAAGCATTGCATGGATACCATATCTATGCTTTTGGATCTGCTTTTAGTCATGCGAAAATGGATAAGTGTCACAGAATGAGGTAATTTTGGTTTTTGGATAGGCAATGCATCCAGTTAAGTCCTCACTTGTCATTGAGTGCAGTCCATAGTTTACTTGGCAGGCATTGCCTTTCTTAAAAGGAAAATACCAATGGCCTATTTGATATGTAAGATGGGGCGAAGAATGGAAATAAAAAAAAAAATTGTAGATGAAAAATATCTCTTCTATCTCTGAATAAAATAACTTATTAAAGGGACAGTGAATGTTGAGTAATGATGACAAAGGTAAACTAAATCATTGCATGTCGCTATTTTTGTGCAACAGAAAGAGAATACTCTTCCTTTGCTGAACTTGAAAGTAAACTGGACACACAGAACTCCACTTTCAGAAGGAAGGGCAGCCAATTAGGGGGTCTGCTTTAAATTTCTCTCGCTTTGAAATGTTCACCTATCCTCTGTTTCTGAATTTTGTTGTTTAAGTCATGTTGAAGTCTGCATTCAAATTTATATTCAGAAAAATACATCCAAAAGCTACCAAAGATATTTTGAGATGGCTTATATGTGCGTGTGTGTATACTTGGTATAGGTTAAAAACACAAGACTTTGAAGTGAACCTGAATTTTGTCTCCAAGTGGATGCGTTCACACATCGAAGATGGTGACAAAGAATTGAAGAAGCCTGTTTTGTTCTCTGAATATGGGTGGTCAGACCTGAACAAGAACTTTTCGGTATCTGACCGTGAAAAGATGTACAGAACAATTTTAGACATAATCTACAAATCTGCTAAGAAAAACGAGTCTGGAGCAGGTGCCTTAGTGTGGCAATTCTTAGTAGAAGGAATGAATGAGTTCGAGGATGATTTTTGGATGATCCCATGGAAAGGATCATCAACATATTCACTATTTCTTCAACAATCATGCAGATTGGCCAAAGTCACAGGATGGACTCAACAGGACAGAAGTTTCAAAGAGGCATGTAAGAAAGTTTGATGCAATTCAAAGTTTTTTTGGTTATTGAACCAAAATGGGGATGGGATATAGGTTCTTTTTGTGGTTTGGTTCCATGTTAGTGGTCTAATGGCTAGTCTTTTTTGTACTACAACATCGGTTTTCATCATATAACCAATGCCACAATCAAGTGACTGCAAGAGTATACAGTGTTGCAGCACAGATTAGAGACTTTATGAACAGTGTTATTTCAAAGAGCATCCTCAAGATAATCTGAATTTGCGAGGATCTGTGTAGGTGAACTGATTGCTTTTTGAAGTCATACAAGTAAATCATTAAACCTGATTTACCCTGCTGCTGTACTTGAAGAATTATCAAATTATTGCCGGCACTTTGTATCACTCGCAGTTATTTCTTTTGGAAATTTGTTATGCAAGACCAAGATGACATCCAATTGAGAGTAATCTTTTCTCAAGAGAAGGTAAATTTTATGAAAACTTTTTTTGTTTTGGTTAGAACTAGATTTTTTTCAACTTCCTAGAAAGAGGTAAGACAACCATTGATACACCCAACTTCTAAGCTTAAACTGAGCCTTCATCCTGCAGTTTATAAAGATAGAATTTGACTGCTTGAAGACCACAGCGAAGGATTATTAATGAATAAGAAATACACCAATGGAAGAACAGGACTTTTTCTCTGGGTTAATAAACAGAGTAGAGATCATTCATCAATCCCCAATTTTGAAGGCAATGTTATCTCGGATAATTTCGAATTAACAGAAAAATCAACATATGTACACACAAGCACAAAACCCGAGCTTCTCATCACAGATTATCATCCACATCCACACCAAGGGAGCCCATATTTCCTATCAAACAAGCAAGTAAAAAAACAGAGAGAAACTACAAGGAGGAGCCTTATCAATTATCAATTCCACGAAGCTGGATATTGATAGGAGGCCAAATTGGGTAGCACCATTATCAAATTCAAGGCTAGTTGGAGTCACGCTTTGCCAATATTGTGGAAGTTCTAGCCCCGTTTTTGCCAGAAACAGTTTTATTGTTACCTTGAATCTTGCTATTCTTTGGAGCCTTCGCCTTCTTTCCTTCATACTTCGAATTATTTACATCAACATCCGCCTTCATAATAGTAGCATCATCATCATAACTTGTCAATTTCCCAATTGTTTCCTCGTTTCCAGTTTCTGATAGATCAGCTCCCTCATTCTCCCTAGCCACCATATCAAAATCGTCCCAGAGCTTCTTCACCAATCTCCTACGAGATCTACGATTATCGGCTCCGATTTCCTCTGCTTCCGCTACTTCCTCCCCATTGTCGTTCACGAAAGCCATGTATCTCCGTCGCTTGGTCGCAAACGGTGCCGGAGGAGGGGAAACCAAAACTGCACTATTCTTCTCTGATCCACCAGAACAATAACGAGCCTCCGCAGTCGGGCTGCCGCTCTCACGGTCGGCACGAAGCTTGTTTACATTGTTGTCAATTTTGCCCTGAAGCGTGAGGCGACTGAAGCGGGAACCACCAACTGACCAGTGAGCTTCGTTCTCCGACGACATCAAGGGGTCGGTGACGGGCACCGGCTAGCACTGAACTGGACCTCAGGGCAGGACGAGGGAGGCTAGGGCCGGACACTTTGCCGGAAACCAGAGAAACGCACCTTCTTGGCGGGAGGATTTGGCGCCTTTTGATGAGATTTTTTTTTTTTGGCCAAAGCCTTTTGATGAAATTTTGGATTTTAGAGTAATGTGCGTGCTCATATGGATCCAAAAATACACTGTATTATTTAAGGTTATTGATATTATGTTGACAAAAAAATATGATATTGGTATTATGATATATACTATATTATTTAATGATACCTGTTTTTTAGAAAAAATAAAGACATGAAGAAATGTTTTAAATTTTACTTTCCTTGCTTTGTTACCAGAAAAAACTTAATTAAAAATGAGCTATCTAAAATATTTACCTAAACAATGAAAACCCATAAACCGATTTGATATGAAATAGGCGGAGGATGGGAAAATAAGGGTCATACTATCAAAATATTTAATGTTGGTATGTTGAGAAATACAAAACATGCATTTTACGACACAAGTAAATAAAGAAGGACTATTAACAATTGAACATAATAAAATTATATTTTGTTATGTTCAATTATTAATAAATCTTGTAATATTTAATCATGTTATTGAGGAGCAAAATTATGTCTAGTTATTAGTTTTTTAGTACTGCTTATAAATATTATTATATTTGAAAGTAATCTTTTTTGAGATACTTTCGAACACTAAATATAGGTATTTTTTTTGATGAAGGCTTGAATCTTTACTTGTCATATTGTGAAAGGCTAATGTTTTTCACTATTTTCAATCTTTGTTAGTTGTTTAATTGTCATTTTGCTATTAATTTATCAATTGGGTGTAATTAGCCAAAAATAATTTGTTAGTGTGACTATTTGTGCAGTGAGATGTGTTTTCTATATTTGTGTAATTGTATATTAATCATGGTTAAAAAAGAGTAAATTTTAAATATTAATAGATAATAGATACAAACTCAAGAAGCTACTCCCTCTAATTTTATTTATAGGGCGGAGAGAGAAAATGTTTTTTATCTTATTTATAAATTATGTCATTAAATTTTTATTATAAATTTTTTTTCCTTTATTAAATGCTAGAAAGAAAAAATATATTATTAAAATATAAATATTTAATAGAAGTAAAGTTGAAAATATATTAAATTTCAAGATAGAGTGAATAACTTCTAAGATTTTTCTTTGTATTGGTGAAACATATTAAAAGTTACTTATAAATAAAACCAAATAAGCAAGTTCTAATCGTTCTAGTTACCAAAAACATTTTATAAGTTACAAATTAATTTATTTGAATTTTATATTAATTGAGTACCTCGATCAATTCAATAAGATCTAGCCGTGATACCAACTTACCAAGGCATGATCGCAATGTACTTATTGCAGTTTTGTGCGCATGTTGGCTTTAACGATGTGTAAAGAGGAACGAGTAATCGTCAAAATTTGTTTTCACACGCAACTCCTGTATGCCTGTAGGTCAAAAATAAGTCCATTATGCAAAACAAGTATTGATACTTTCATTAAAAGGAAAGCTTATAACATTATTTTTAAAGAAACAAATGCGAGCTACGCCAATAAATATCCAATATTGCAAAAAAATTGTGAAATATAAAAAAAGGACTGACTACTTACAATAACAAATATAGCCACAGCAGAGAGAGAAGGGAAGAAATGGCGCCCTCCCACAACGAACATGAACAAAATATGATCACAGCTCCCAACTCCAACAATAACTCCCATATCTTAAAGGAAAAAAATGTTTACATAAACTCAAGTCCTTCTATTCTGTGTCTTCTCCACCTCCGTCTCATTCCAAAGTCAAACCTGCAAACTAAATGCAAACCATTTTAATAAAAACTATATGAAGACAAGCTTTGCTTAATTAATTCGGTCACATGACGGGTTCAAAGCAAGCGAGTTCTGCGCACACATTTTATCTAGCAGTACATAAGATGCTTATTGCCATCCAAAAATACACAAGATTGCATAATTTCGCTAATTCAAATAATACTTTGGTGACAGCTTTCAATTGCCACACTAAACATTCCATGACTTTTTATACCTTGGGATCTTATACCTAAAAACTCATAAAAGGGGATGGAACATCCCGCTGGTATTCTAACATGCATACAAGAAGAGGACAGAAATCTTGCGTTCCAGAAGGTTCCATGGATTAGAGCTCCTCGTCTAAATGGAAATTATAAGCCCACAACAGAACTCCTTTGTGCATAAAGCCATGTCTCAGTTGAACTGAAATTAGAGGAAGTCATCACGGAAGCACAGCCAACAAGCATCCAGCAAAGTGAAAGAGGAAAAAAGCCACTTTATAATACGATGAAAAAAAGGCTGGGTCTCCACAACAATACATAAATTTGACATAGAATCATAAGGTTCTGTATAGTGACAAGGTATTTTCCAATTTCCCTGCAGTGACTTTGTCTGACACTACTGGCATTAAACTATTACTCTGATGGAGTGAGTTAACCATATTTAACTATGATATGGGTATTTAAATATCTATTAATAAAAAAGCAGTTTTGCTGTTAACGTCTATCCAGAATGGTATATTTAATGAAGACAGTATTGATGCATTGCAGGGGCCACTTACTGGTTCAGACTAGATAGACGACTTGAACGCATAATTCAACAAGAAAGCACCCAGGAATAGCATCAACTTCGTTTTATACATAATATAAATATAATCCCCTAAAAAAATATCAGACCATGGAATCATAGGTGTATATAAAAGAAACTACAAATGATCAGATTATTCAAATATAAGCGTCAATAAATTCTCAATTCCAAATCGCTTTACTTACTAAGATGTCTCCTAAAAGTACACGAGACTATCATTAGTTAGTCAGCATCTGCTTAGATGCTCACTGATAACTGGATAAAAAGATCTCTAGACAATTACAGAAAAAAAACTAAGTCAAATTTTTTTTCAACATTTTGAAACCAACCAAAAAATTTAACATATGTGATTGCTAGAACTCGTTCCCAGCTTTGTACATAACATGTGATGATGGTATTTATTGCCCACATAACCATTAACACACTGAACATAAAATATCCACTTCACTCAGAATGTAGACTATTAGTTGCACAAGGAAAGAAACATAATTCCGGCTCAAAAGTAAAAAGGTTTATCTTTGTCTTCTTTAGCCTGTGTATAAACAAAAGATCCACAAGCAAGGGCAGCAACAACAAAATAACAACTAGTAAAAACAAAAATTTCCAGTAAAACGAACCAATAAATATTATACCTCAAGGCGCAAGTTAAACACCGGGCTTTTTTCCTGTAATCATCTGGAACATCCGCAGACCCCTGCTGAATGCTTCGTTGAAGAGAGCTCTGGTCTGCATAGACTGAAACCCTGGCAACCATGATAGTAATACTACAGGAGCCATAATAATGGCTCCAAATAATATATCATACAAACAAGCCACGGAAACAAACCCGTTCCAAATGATGGTGGCTTGTCGAAATGGCCGGAATGCCCAGTAAATTCCAGCAAAGCAATTATCACAAGAATCACAAGAATAATGACAAGGAACTGAATCAGCCGATAATAGATATGTTGTTTTGCTGCATATTTGTCCCGGGCATACGATACTGCCACTTAAAACCCAGAGATAACAAAGACATAGATCCAAGACAACAAGTAAACGGCAATACTAGTACTTCCATCAGCAATACCCAGCTGATAAACAATTCCATACGGAAAATAGAAGAACCGAAGGTCCAAAATTATCTCCAATAACTTCCCCAAAAAGCCAGTTACCCTCAGATGATCTTGCTCTTTATACCGCCATCTTTCCCAGCTCTGTTCAGCTTTAGCAAACACACTTCCACGGTACCAAATCCAGATCAAAACATCATCAAAATCATAAATAGTCTTTAACCAGTCAAAGCCTGAAGGATTGAACACAAATGGTGCCATAATCCATGACATAACTAAGACCCAACTAGAGATGGTCATGGCTATATAAACGAATGCGTCAGTTGCCACAGGACTGCGGGATGCATAAATTATAAGTATCAGCCCCAATTCAATCGCTTTCACAAAATGGCTACAAGCATATAGCCTTTAGTTTTCTGCAAAACTCTTGTGCTCTACAACAAATCCACGACCAGTCGGTCGATACTTTGCCCCACCATGAAGGATTGTCCGGCCGAAGTAATGGCTACGAGTGCCCAAGGAGAACATGCAGAAAACTGATGAAAGCTAGAGCTGCATTGTCAGGAAATCCCAAATAGCTTGAAGGAACCCATGCTCAAGGGAATTCTTCACAATCATGGGAAGGGCAGCGAAAATACCAAGTTGGACGACGAACTGCTGATTTAAAATAGTGCCTAGTGCTTTATTGTTATTGCCGTCACTCCCCATGGCAGCTTCAATACCACTGAGAGGAAGGTAGAGTCGGCCCCATAAAAATGCATATACAGTCAGAACAATCATCTTTGTATTGAAAAAGAATCCCACAGTAGTGTAGAAGAATAAGAGCATTCGGAAGAAATCGAGCCTGCGGCCCAACCTGTAGACATCTCTGCTCAAAACTTGCTCCCCATTTCCACCGGCAACCTTGGCTTCGAACATTGATAGATATTTGATTCAACCCCACATCCCTTCCCTTTCGGACCTGAATGTATTCATGGTGCGTGACATTAACCCCGCGGAGAGAACAATTAAAGCCAGACAAAATGTCCTCTCTTATGTTGATTACTCTAGATCCTTTACTAATAATATCACCTCGAGTTGAGAACCAAAACCGGTCGAACACATCTGGATGACCGTAATGCAGTCTGATTTTCAAAGGATTTGCCAAAACTCTTTGCCCTAAGGTCACAAAACTTGTTTCTTGAGCTGACGTGAACCAAGCAAGAGAGGAAACCAAACCAGTAAAAACGTGTTCTCTTACTACTAGAATAGAAGGTTTCCGAATACCATAATAATGCTTTTATTCTTC